CTTTTGTTAAAGTTTAGCGTAAAGTGAATGTCAAAATGTTTTAAAATGTTGCACACGGAAAACATATTCTGCCTGTTATCATTGTGTATGTGTGTGTGCATGTGTGTATGTACTTAATATAATGTTGTTTTGGGGTCGGTCTGTTGGGTGGTCGGGTTGAGGGGTCAGGGGCATGTGGGACTGTTTTTAATCAAACTGAAAATGCATGCAATGATTTATTGATTGAAGTGGGCATACAGTTACCATCCGAGAACAACTTTATCGATATCACAATGGAGAATTTGTCACATTTTAACCCATAAATAGTTGTGAATGCATAAATTTGATAACACTAGAATCGCTAAATGAAGCAAGGTAGATAAGTTCAATACACAGGTCATCTACTGTTTTTACATGTTTAGCCACTTTGAGAGGCGGTATAAAGAATTATCATAAACTCTTTCAGCCGTGTTAATTTAAATTTCTAAATTGAGCCATCACCAGTGCTGTGTTTCCCAATGCCATTCAGTCATCTTTCAATCAATGTTATGTTCTGACACAATAGCACTCATCCCACGTGTCCCATGAACATGTGCAGTGGTCTCATCCATACTGTGACCACTATGGAGCTGCGAAGTCCCGCCCACTTGGCAGTCTGCGCAGTTTCCGGAAATCAAATTCCCATTGAAAATCCTCATAGGAGTTTTCAAAAAAATCCAAATATCAAGAGTTTGAAGGCTAACCAGCACGGCTGTTGTCAGTCCCAAAACTCTGGCAAAATGTGTCCAGAAGTTTCAAAAATATACTTTTAAATAGTCGATAGGAACAAACAAGCTTTCAATCTTTCTCCCGCTAAGGGGTAACGTGTGTGTGTTTGTATGACTGGACAGAGCTGAAGTTTCAAGATGATCCATAGTGTTGCCATTTTAGTTTATAATCATTTTATGCATGCTTTCTTTAGTTCCGCAACCAGTAATCCATCCATAATTTTCATTCTGTCTGCGTTGGAAAAATCTTTGGCTTAAATAATATAAGCGTAAGAACAAAAGTCTTATATTTCGAGTGTAGAATGACCAGCTCTTTGCTCGTCCTGCTGCTTGTGTGTGTGGAGCCCAGCGCGGCGGCCTCCCATGGACAGTGTGACCGCCGACAGAGCAGTCCTGGCACTCATCCGTCATTTGTAAATAGGAAGGAGTCGGCAAAAACAATATGTGTAATTACTACTGTTTGTAGTATGCTGTAGTTCCATTTTAGTAATATATATTTTTTTCTCATCTAGTCAATTTATTTTTGCAGCGCCCAATGTATTTGTGTTCAGGAAATCCAATTGTGTTTATTGTAAAGCATTCTTTATTCCATCAGAAAGGAATAAAAAAATATCAGGGTAAAAAGGGTATCATTATCTATATACTTACAGTTAGTTGAATAAAGACGTCTTTATGATGTGATGATGGGTTGTAATCATTTCTGGGATGTATGACATCATACATGCAGAACGATATGACCCATAGGTCTAAACCAACCAAAATGCACTGTGGCAATCTACTTATATACGGATTGGATTTTTCAGCCAATACCTATAATTGACCTGCACCTGTGAACTGGTCGCTCCCAACCCGGACTTATGGGCTGCACCCCCTCCCGCACCGCCTCACTCCTGGTTTTACAGCCTGAGTCCTGGACCTACAGCCTGAGTCCTGGACCTACAGTTTGTCTGTGTCTGTGGGAGCGGGTCCCTCTCTCAATGGCCAAGACTCTCAATGTTTTCCCCCACTGTTTTTTTTTTTCCTTCATTGTTGATGCTGGAGGTTTTAAGGACAGTGATGATTCAGGACATTTAAGGACTGGATTTATTAACATTTGTGGACAATGGTCATCCCACTCCCCACCAATGGCTACTATGTGTTTGTTATCATTGGATTTCTTGTGTTAAAACAGTTTCATTATCTGATCTGTTTTGGCGAATCAAAAACTTTGTAAAGTCCTCTGAGACAACTGCTGTTTTGATTTAGAGCTGTACACAAATACATTAAATTGAATTGGCCTCCTACTCTGGCCACATTTAATATCATTTTTGGCTGTCAAAAGTAGGTCTTTGGTTCTAAATGAAAGTCATTCTTTCAATGATAGAATCATACCAATCTGTAATAATATATTAAAATCAGCCAGTACAGATAAATCACCTATCCCTAATTAAATATATTCCCTTTTCTGATCGTCGGTCTTTATTTGCGCTCTCTGATCCGTGGCCTCAGTACCACCACGTGCACCTGGAGTTGTTCATTAACCACACAAAGGCCAAACAGGAGCACGTTTACATTTCCGCAACACTTCAGAGGCGAGTGAATCGCTCAAATGTCACTTTGGTTCAAGAGCCTTGTTTACCAATGTGTCTGCTTTCAAACCTCCCCGCACTCCTTTCTCTTCCCTTCACTTTCTTCCTGCGCCGTTTGAACCGCTGTGGCATTTTGTGTCTTTGAAAAGTATGACTATACAAGCCCTAAAGCTTTGTTAAGCGGCAAGTTAACACACGTACCCTGAGAGCCCTTTCATTTGCGTCAGTGTTGAAATTCAAAATCCAAATTCGCAACAATGATTTTTTACTGCGTATGTCGTAATATCGCAGGGACTGGTAGATTTTTGCGAAGCAAGTGAGCTTGTCTAATTCCATGTGATGTATATGCGAGGCTCATATCAAACGCACTAGATGGCTGCTCAGATCTGTTAAAATTACATCTCAACTTGTGCCGTGATCAAATGTAGCTGACATTTCCATTAAAAATACATCATCGCGTGGAATCAAAATGGCCGCGGGATGAAACGAATGAATTTGTCACAGGCCGAGCGTTCTGTGTTTACCGATCACAGAGCTGCTTTTTAGCCGGGCAGAAAATTAACACCCGCGGTGGGCCAAATGCTCCCCGAAAGCTGGCTGTGGTCTGTAAGTTTGTCCTCTGTAGCAACCACTTTAACGGCACACTGCTTATTATTTGGAGCTGGTTGCTGGAAATTGGCGGTTGGTGAAACGGTTGAAAAGAGATATGCACTTTTGTTGTTGTTTGCGTTTTTTTCTATACAACTATCTGTTTAGTGAAATTTGTGGTTTACTTTTTTTGTGGTGATCTCTGAAAGTTTTACTGTTACTTTCATCTCTGCTACTTGCTATTGTAACTCATACAGTTCCATCGAGGCATGCTAAGACCTTCGATCCAAAAAAATCTAATATTGAGAGAGAGAGAGAAATTAAGAAAAATAAATAATTAAGAAAAGAAAAATCAACAAAAACATAACATAATGACATTTATATAAACATTAAGGAAACATAAAAAAATATTTGTATTATTATTATTTTTTTAAATACATTTATCCTTAACATTTTTCTTGTTGCTTAAGTTGTTTTGCAAAGAGTTAGAGACATATATAAGATATAAAACATTGCATATAGATTTTTTCCCCTCCCTAAGCTCTGCAGTAAGGAAAGGCAAGTTTATTTGTAAAGCATCGTGCCGTGCAACTAGTCGTCCAGTTTTGACCTGTCTCACAACTGCCACTGAATAAAGCAAGTGACTTTGATACATAAATAATACATTTGTCTCAACAGAAAGAGTCTTATAAAAGCTAATTTTTGTAAAAGTTGTTCTTTTGCATACAAGTTGGAATGAGCCCTGTCACTCTTGAGAGCTGATAAGCTGATTCTTAGCTTTTCACTCGTCTCTCTTTAAAAGTTCTTCAAAAATACACATGGATGTGAAAACGTGTGAGCCTAACTAAATTTAGAGAGAGAAACTACACATGGGATTTATTACACAGTTTAATTTTGTTGTAGTCTGAAAGTTTGGTACCCCAGCTTTATTTCGATCCCATTCTGTTTATTATGTATTCTTGAATGTCAGAAGGGGAAGTTGCAGTGAGTTTGGTGGTGGTCCGGGAGCGTGGCAGCCGTGTGAGCAGCTCCAGTCGGTCGCTGGCTCAAACTCAGTGAGAAAAGTCTCGGTCATGGCGTCCGTGCTGCTGAGTGGGCTGGTCCTGGCAACGCACGCTCCTCCTATCAGCAACACACAGGCCATGTCCTTCTTCCAACACTCAGCTCCCACACACAAGTCCGTTTGCATAGGCTACCCATTTGTGGATAAAAATACAGTTTCTCTGTGTTTATATTTTTACAGACAAAGACAAAATTAGGAAGCCCTCCATACATTTTATTAGATATTTACAATACTAAACTAATTCAAATAATATTGTGATTGTTTAGTTTCATAATAATTCATCATAACCAAGAATAAATTACATCGGAAAAATAAGTCTGTAAAACACTGTGCAATGAAAATAGACGTAAAGCTGGGGTACCAAATTTCCAAAGCACAAAACATAGACATGGAATCAATTAAACTAGTTCTTCGCTCACTAGTTTTCACATGCATGTATTTATGGCCTCTGCCACATCTTTTGAACTTTTTCAGACAAAAAAGTGAAAGAGAGAGGACCACCCTCACTCAGCCAATTAGCTTTCAGCCCAAAGCGTCAAAGGCTCTTAGAAGTATGCAAAAGACAACGTGTTTTCTAATAATAGGAAGACAGCATGTTGTGGTCTGATTTACACACATTTATGGGGGAGAAAAGTTAGGTACCCTAGCTTTAATGCCTTTTAATGAGTTTTCCTTAATATTTCTTTATAGTTGAATATATAAAGAGTGGTCTGTCGTGCTCTGAGTCATGTGTTAACTCCTGTTTCATGCACAATACATTAGGATCCTGCCTCTTGATTTTGAATTCTCAAGCTTGATCTTTTCTGTAGGATTTTGGCTTGTTTTTGTTGGCGTAAAATAAGCGGCATGAAACAATTGCCAACATCGAAAATGTGTAGGCGCCATATTATTGTGTCAAAATGTATTGCAAGATATGTGTGAGCTGATTCTGCATATGGCTTTAGTGATTCAGTATTACGCTTTTGTAACGTGATAATTTTTGCACCACACAATTCGGAAAATTTGCTCTATGAAACGCCTGTGGTATTTCCAAGTATGTGTGTGACTGTGTTGTGTGGTTGTTCGCAGGTGAGCTGTAACCAGTTATCTGCTCCATCCGCACTTGTGAAGTTGAGCGGCCCCTCCCCCAGTCCAAACATCTGCACGTTTTGACAAGCACAGTCGCACAAATGCATATTGTTTTATCCAATCTTTAATATAATCGAATTCAGAACAGCCCAACGGTTCACTATGAATCATTCTACAAATATGTGGGGGTTTTTCTATTGTCAACATCAGCTGAATGAGTTGGTGCGAAATACAAGATCAATAGTTTAATACAGACATGTTCCAACCAAAGTCAAATATAGATAAAGACCCTTTAAAACTTATTAGTATTTGAGCCCATAGCAGTTCCACATCAAGTAGCTATATTCACATGTGTGTTCTATATGCCAAGAGCGTAGGTTTGTGTGGGGACCGTGGGAGGACAAAAATGTCCTCACCAAATATAAGATGATGTCCCGGGCCGAATCCACTGTCTCCAGTTTATTCATACGCCGCACAATTCTGGATTCTTTCAATATTGGGAGTATACGGGACCTTCTCCACCGACTCCCACTAATGTTTGCTGTCGTTGTGTCCTTGGCAAGACACTTAACCTCTGGGAACACCAGCCAGAGTGGGGCGGCTGCGGCTGTAAAGTGCCAAACTGCCATTGTGTCCTTAGGCAAGACACTTCACTCCCATTGCCTAGAATGAGTCTTGTGTGTGTGTGAATGGTTGGTGGTGGTCGGAGGGGCCGATGGCACATACTGGATGCCTCGCTTCTGTCAGTGTGCCCCAGGGCAGCTGTGGCTACAGTAGAAGTTTAACACCACTGTGTATGGAGTGAATGAATAATGACATGTAAAGTGTCTTTGAGTGTCCAAAAAAGCGCTATATAAAACCGATGCATTATTATTATTTATTTCAGTTTGTCTGACCCGTTACGGAGGACCTGTTTACCCTGGGAGACCTTGTAAGGGGTGTAGTGCCCCAGGCAACATACTATTAAAGGATCCTCTGGGCACACAAAGCTCCAAGGGGAGCTGCTAGAAATGTACAATACTTTATTACGATATACAACTTTGTTATATATATATATATAATGGGGAGGGAACACATTTATGGTTGGGTGATTCTTTTGTGTAGTTGGACCTTCATTGAAAGGTTGTGATTTTATCCACAAAGACTCATCAGCCAGAAGGTCAGGAGTTCTAACTTGTTCCAGTTGTATTATTGGGTTTCTGCCTCAGTTACAGTATAATGATTCAGTGGTTAAAAGCTCATAAAAGTCTTTTTACACATGTTCCATTACTTCAATTATCTTTTTTGAGATAATATCCTTTTGAAGTTAACATTTAATGGTACCAAATCCATGTAGACTCAAGTCAAGAACATCTTGCAATGTTTGTGTTGTCATCTCGCAGGGGGCAAACCAGACAAGCCTAACCCATCAGAGGAGCACTTTTGTGGGCTTGGAATGCCAGAGCGTGCCTCATCCTCTGGTCTCCCCCACAGCCCACTCTGGGCACGTTAGCACGTAGCCACAAATTACAAGCACATTTTTTACACATACTAATGTACTCGTTTGTAGATTTAGAGCAACAATCCTGGTCATCACAAATGTGCCTGCATTTGAGACCTTTACCTTTAGGCCCTAATATAGTCATTTAAGATGGCAGCATAATGGGGACCCATAAAAGTAAAACAGTTCAAAAGAAGAAATGTCAACATTTTCAATTAAGAGAAGCTTTGACTTCCATCCAGAAGTAATTTATAAATCTTCTGTAGCAGTAGGTCAGTAGGCCTGGTCTGATTATACTAAACTCGGGTTGAGTTTTCTGTATCATGGGGTAATAATAAACCCTGTTAATGTTTTGAATGGGACGTATCTGAAGGCGCATGATTGACAAGAATTAACAAAAAATATTTTCTATATATTTATATATATATATATATATATATATATATATATATATATATATATATATATATATATATATATACAGTGCCTTGCGAAAGTATTCGGCCCCCTTGAACCTTTCAACATTTCGCCATATTTCAGGCTTCAAACATAAAGATATAAAATTTTAATTTTTTGTCTTGAATCAACAACAAGTGGGACACAATCGTGAAGTGGAATGAAGTTTGTTGGATAATTTAAACTTTTTTAACAAATAAAAAATTGAAAAGTGGGGCGTGCAATATTATTCGGCCCCTTTACTTTCAGTGCAGCAAACTCACTCCAGAAGTTCAGTGAGGATCTTTGAATGATCCAATGTTGTCCTAAATGACTGATGATGATAAATAGAATGCACCTGTGTGTAATAAAGTCTCCGTATAAATGCACCTGCTCTTTGATAGTCTCAGGGTTCTGTTTAAAGCGCAGAGAGAACCATGAAGACAAAGGAACACACCAGGCAGGTCCGAGATACTGTTGTGGAGAAGTTTAAAACCGGATTTGGATACAAAAAGATTTCCCAAGCTTTAAACATCTCAAGGAGCACTGTGCAAGCAATTATATTGAAATGGAAGGAGTATCAGACCACTGCAAATCCACCAAGACCCGGCCGTCCCTCCAAACTTTCATCTCAAACAAGGAGAAGACTAATCAGAGATGCAGCCAAGAGGCCCATGATCACTCTGGATGAACTGCAGATAACTACAGCTGACATGGGGATGGTGTGTTCAGGGTGATGAGCTGTGTTGCTTTTACGCCAAACATATCGTTTTGCATTGTGGCCAAAAAGTTTGATTTTGGTTTCATCTGACCAGACCACCTTCTTCGACATGTTTGGTGTGTCTCCCAGGTGGCTTGTGTCAAACTTTAAGAGACTTTTTATGGATATCTTTGAGAGATGGGCACTCTTCCATAAAGGCCAGATTTGTGCAGTGCATGACTGATTGTTGTCCTATGGACAGACTCTCCCACCTCAGCTGTAGTTATCTGCAGTTCATCCAGAGTGATCATGGGCCTCTTGGCTGCATCTCTGATCAGTCCTCTCCTTGTTTGAGATGAAAGTTTGGAGGGACGGCCGGGTCTTGGTAGATTTGCAGTGGTCTGATACTCCTTCCATTTCAATATAACTGCTTGCACAGTGCTCCTTGAGATGTTTAAAGCTTGGGAAATCTTTTTGTATCCAAATCCGGCTTTAAACTTCTCCAGAACAGTATCTCGGACCTGCCTGGTGTGTTCCTTTGTCTTCATGGTTCTCTCTGCGCTTTAAACAGAACCCTGAGACTATCAAAGAGCAGGTGCATTTATACGGAGACTTGATTACACACAGGTGCATTCTATTTATCATCATCAGTCATTTAGGACAACATTGGATCATTCAAAGATCCTCACTGAACTTCTGGAGTGAGTTTGCTGCACTGAAAGTAAAGGGGCCGAATAATATTTCACGCCCCACTTTTCAGTTTTTTATTTGTTAAAAAAGTTTAAATTATCCAATATATTTCGTTCCACTTCACAATTGTGTCCCACTTGTTGTTGATTCATGACAAAAAATAAAATGTTTATATCTTTATGTTTGAAGCCTGAAATGTGGCGAAATGTTGAAAGGTTCAAGGGGGCCGAATACTTTCGCAAGGCACTGTATATATATATATATATATATATATATATATATATGTAAACTGTTGTAGCTCACAGTTTAAACCTCTGTTGATTAAAGTACAGCTGTTAGTGTTTGACTATATTTACTGATTAAATTGGCACATTGTTAGTTTCTCTCTTAAGCAGATGATTGAATTTCCGCTGCAGTCACCTCCGCCTGCTGCTCTGGCTCTATAGTGGGAGGTGGATGGAGCCACACTCCCGGGTCAGGGACACTGTGGCCAGGCAGCAGAGGACAGAGCCCAGGCCACAGTGGAGCACAGCTCTAATGAAGGGCCAGGCGGCGGGGATGAGACCCGGCTTTTACTGGGCCACACTTTTAATTGGTCTAATGAGATGCAGAGTGACCGGCGCCAGGTCAAACACCGCAGGACAGAGCCGGACAAAGGAGGACGTGCCAGTAAACACAGTCTGAAAGACAATGTGATGGCTTCAGTGTAACACATGCTTCATTTATAAGAAATATGAACATATCCGGCTTAGAGCAAATTTCTCAAGTAGCCAAGGTAATTATTTAAAATTATTCTTTCATCAAATTTCTCCACACTCTTCTCTTATTAAGATTTAAGGATGTAGGAGGTCTGCTGTTTGACTATGCATTTGGTATAAACGAAACAACACAAAGATGCAGGTGTGTTTTGAGAAATGAAAAGGTGACATTTAGGGGCTTCAATCCGATTGTTAAGCTTGTTTTCGGTGAAAAATGCTCATTTGAGTCGAACAAGGTTGCTCCCAATAAACAGTCATTGATCAAACATTTTAATTAGCCAATCTTTTCTTTTGATGCCTTTTTTAGGCTGAGTGCTGTGACCTCGTTCAATTTCAAATGTCATCACCTTTTTCCATAGCCTAATTGTGAAACCTAAATTGTTTAATAAAGAGGTATTTGTCATTGGATTGGAGCTGGGGAAAAAGCTTAGAGATGGAAGCTGATTCTCCTTCTACAATAGGAAAATATATACATAAATAAATACATAGTAATAACATGAAACCAAAATCTACAATAATATAAATATAAATACATAAATGCACATTTAAGTGGTAAAATTGTGCGTGCATATGACTGAATAAATGGCCTGCGAGGTGCGCGCTGCTGATGATGCGTGCGCTTCGCTTTTCTCTCTGGCTGAAAGAGTTAAGCTGAAGTTGGCAGGAAGTCCACAGTCTCGGTCAGACGTGCGGAGAATGGAAATATAGAGAACTTGAGAATCATTTCTTTTGTCTCGTTATAGACAGCTTATAATTAGCTTAACAGCAGTGCGGCAGATATAATGAACGTAAACGAATTTGAAAAATGAGATCACGCTACGGGCGGGCGTTCAATTCAGGAATATTAAGAATGATATGGCCCCCACGGTTTTTAGTGTTTGCCACGGGGAAAAATGCAAAATGTCAGGAGGCCAACATATTTTTATTATTAATATTATTAGTATTAATATTTATTATTGTTTATTTTAATGCCTTTGTTTCTTCTCTCATTTAATAATCACGTTTCCCTTCTGTCTCCTTGTTTGAGATTTCGAACTTCCGCATTTGTGTAGGCCTATCTGTGCAACTTTAGGCAGACGAAGTGTTTTCGTTCTTCTCTTTCAAAATTCATATAAGCAAAGTTCCTGTGCATTTAATTATTTAGGTTCAGCTTGTTCTTGTTATCAGGATTGGAAATGAGTGAAAACCCCGTTTGTGAGTATATTATTTTTTGAGTGAAATGATTAGAAAGACCAAGGCTCGTGTTTGAGGCCTGTGACGCAGCAAATACGTAAGCTAGCATTAACACCTCTGAAGACAATTAAAAGCTAGGCCTCCACTGCTACTGTATAACCTCCTTGACAATGTTGAGTGAGACGTAATTTTTGTGTAATATCAGACGTGAAAACCCCTAACCCTAACCCATGGAGGGTTCACACAGATACGCTTATTCCCCATATTCCAGCAGGAAACGTGTGCGTAAATGTGCGTAACAATTATTGTAACATAATATGTAATGCCCCCTTCCTCTGACTCGACCATAGCTAAGCAGAAGCCCCTTGTAGTCAGATTCGGGCGACATGTGAATAGTGGTGCATTTGCATTTTGGCATGGCGACCCCTGTGACGCCGTGTTTTATTGAAAAGCAGCGCAGTGAAACACATTGAAGTGCCAGTTATCGCCTCCTAAGATGCAGGTGGTGATTGAAGCTGAAACATTTGACTGAGGCTAGCTTTTAGTCTCTTATGCATCACAATGAAGACTGCCATTTCCTCTCGGAGTCTATTGGCTACCTTTGTGGTATTATCTAATCATATATCAAAGTTTGGCAGCGGTGAATGACTCTGTGAATGCAGAGGTGTGCGCGCTCCTCGGTGCGCGGATGGAGGGTCACTATCAGGGTTTCATTAGGCTGCGCTGCCTTCATGGCTCCAAGGATGAAGTGGATTCATGATGGAGACTGAGCAAAAGCGTGCACACACACAACCATACACGGGTTCTATTTCAGTGGATCATGGTCTCAATGATGTCCTGAAGTCGGTCACTTTTATTTGCATCGGCATTTCAGTTGAAATTTCAGTTATTTGATAGATGTTGGATCCCTTTAGCTGCACCCATCCCCATGCTTTTTGTATCAATTAAGTGTACAATGTATTGTGCATGTCTCCTACAGTAAAGAAATATTATATGCAGAGTGTCCTGCACAAAAAGAAAACACCTAAAATATTAAGTTTAAAATTAATTTTGTAAAAATATTTTCCAAGAATGATTTACTCATGACGTGTCATTTACTGTCATCATTTGTCATTATTGTCTGTTTCAGTTTGCTCATTGTGAGTGAATTTGCGGCAAAGGGTTTTCAGACTAGCCATGGAGACTGTCTGCTGAGCAGGTGCATCCATGAATGACAGACTTTCGATGAAGCAGCATGGCAGCCATTGACAAGAGCTAATGCCAAATCCCGTGGGGACTTGGGCGAATTTAGGTTGGTTTGATGGGAGACTGCATAGCTGCGTAGTATACAGCTGAGGCGACTGGGTGACCATTCTGCCTTGAGCAGTCCTATCATGTGGCTGGATATGCTCTCATCACTGGTGTGTGTGGCACAGTGTGGCTGGTTTGTTTCTGCCTCTTTGTTTGCTGTGGTAAACCCATGAGCAGCTGCCGCTGGTGGGGTCTGGAGGGATTCTGAAGCTGTGTGTCCTCTCTTTGCCATCCTCTGCCAAGGTGGCATTATGCAAGTAGAGCAAGGGGGAGAGAGAGAGCGCACTGAGCGGGCGGGGGAAGCGGGGGTGAGAGACGAGGAAGCGGCGGCCATAGTAAAGATGGAGGAAGGCTGTGGTGCAGGAGAAGACTTGCTCCCCTGAACTTTGCCTTGGTGTCAGAGTGGAACTTGTCGATTTGGCAAATAGTGCGGTGTCGGACAAGACCATGCCTCTCCTCCACTCCCACCTGCTCCCTCCTTCTCTCTCTCTCACGGTGCTGGTCTCACTCTCTCTGCCACTAGCACCCCCTTCCTCACCCACCCTCTTTCTCTTTTCCCTCCCTTTCAGCTCTTGAAGCTAACGCATTGGCTGGGCTACAAGCATCTTGTTGCCAAATAGGTGGGCCCTACGCGCGTTGGCATAGACTCAAGCAATGGTTAGGGAAAGAACGCGGAGAGGACGAGAGACGTCGAGCGAGAAACAGAAAGAGGAAGAGAGAGAGTTGGAGAGAAAAGGGGAAAAAAGAAGCGGCACTCAGCTTTGCCAGCGGTCGTATGCGCTCGTCCAACATTGATTCGGCTCTGTATTTTTTTCCCCTGCTCTGTGCTGTGCTTTCCCTGGCCCCCCCATCTGTGTGTGTGTGCTGCTGTGTAAGTGTGTGAGTCTTGTGCCGGCCCAGGGATCAGAACAGACACCAGCACCAATTACGCTCTGCCAAGGATTTTTTTTTTTTTTTTTTTACTTTCTGATTTTTTAATTTTTGGAAAGCGCAAAGGACTGTTTACTTTATCTCTTCCCGTTGTTGAAGTTTTATGCCTCTTCACAATATTGTCAACATTTGGATTTTTTGAAATTTTTATTTAGCTTTTTTTCCCTCTAGTCTTTGTTATTTTGTGCTTTTGTCTAATGAGTTTTTGGCCCGGTTCCTGCTTCGGCAAAACGTAAATTTGCCCATTCCGGGAAATCTTTTTTTCTCTCTCTCATTACTTTGGCCCACTCTTTCTACTGAGCAGCATATTCTGCTAATTATTTTTTTTTTTACAATCCCGAAGTTTTTTTTTTCATCTGGTATTTCTTCACACGCTGCCAAACCAACACTTGCTTTACATTGGGGAGCGCGGGAGGAAAAAAAAACTGGTGCAGGAGATTTTTTTTTTTCACTTTAAACGCCGTGCCAAATTTATGATGAGAGTGCAAAATGGTAACTACCAGGCCGTCTGTCTTCCTCTTGCTCTGTGGTTTTCTGTGGTGATTTGTGCCTACATTCAGTTTGTTGCGGAAATGTGAGTCGGGCTGGAGCTCCCCTTGCATGGTAGCGCAGATAGGGAAATGGTATGGCTGATCTTTTAGCTGCACATTTCAACAGTGGTCTTGTGGCGGCAAAGCTTGGCGGCGGTGAGCGACCGGTGTGTGGCAACCCTGGCACAGGAACGCTGTGGCGAGATCTGGGCTTTGTTGCCCAGAGATATGTAGTGAAGGTATTATAGCGCCGATGAATAACTTGCTTTTTGGACAGAAAAGTGGGAGCGCACCTCGGCTCACCACTTTCTTTTTGCATGTACATTTTCCTCTGCATTCTGCGTGTTTTTTAGGATAACTGAAGATTCTTTTTTTTCTAATATTTAAAATATCTTTAAAGGAAACTTTCAACAATACAACGCTTATGTTTGATTCATTCAATGCTTAAAGGCGCTAATGCACAACTGGAATTTTAAATGTTACAGATTTCAGATTGAATGATCTTTCTGGATGAGCTTCAAACTTTCACCTGTGCATTCTAATTTGTTCTGTTTTTCTTTTCTTTTTTCATTCAAATTTTCCATTTAGATTTTTGAAAATAAACGTTTTATTTCTCTTTTCTTTTATAAACTGTATCATCTGCATTTATTAATGTAATACAAAGTTTTGTTTTCAATATTTTATATGTTCAATATATTAAATATTACAATGAATATAACATTATTGTCATCTTTCTGCAGGATGAATTTCATCCCTTCATTGAGGCCCTCCTCCCACATGTCCGTGCCTTCTCCTACACCTGGTTCAACCTACAGGCTCGCAAGCGCAAATACTTCAAGAAGCATGAGAAGAGGATGACCAAGGATGAAGAGCGCGCAGTGAAGGACGAGCTGCTGGGGGAGAAGCCAGAGATCAAACAGAAGTGGGCCTCGCGCCTCTTGGCCAAGCTGCGCAAGGACATCCGGCCAGAGTTCCGCGAGGACTTTGTTCTCACCATCACGGGGAAGAAGCCCCCGTGCTGCGTGCTGTCCAACCCCGACCAGAAGGGCAAGATTCGGCGCATCGACTGCCTACGCCAGGCCGACAAGGTGTGGCGGCTGGACCTGGTGATGGTGATCCTGTTCAAGGGCAGTCCTCTGGAGAGCACGGACGGAGAGCGCCTGGTCAAGTCGCCGCAGTGCTCAAACCACGGCCTGTGTGTCCAGCCACATCACATCGGAGTGGCCGTCAAAGAGCTGGACCTCTATCTGGCCTACTTTGTCCAGACACCAGGTATGCACTCGCTAGTTTACTTTAGCCTGAAAATCACACTATTCATTTGCACGTACTAATTGTGAGTAAACAGAAATTGAAGGCCAGTGGCCAGTGAGTCACCGTTGTTTTTTGGCTAAGTGTCACTCATATACCAGGATACCAGACAAATTATGAAAAAGAAATGCGCAAATTAATTGAATGTAACATCAAAATCATTGATTAGCAGTGATTTGGTTTGTCCCTAACATAATTAGTTAGTTTTGTTTTAAATGTTTTTCCAGTTAAAATATAACTATACATTCATCCACTTTTGGTAGTGTCTTTCGGGTATACAGCTATAGTTTATTTACTCACTATATTCTTCTATCATCCCTGTGGCAAGCCTGCCCTCGATAAAGCTTGAAGCAGATCTGATGCCAAACGGTGATAAACACAACAAACAGAGCTCAGGGCTTCGATAAGCGTCGCATCTTTGCGTTTAACACAGCGCTGTCATCTCAAGTCTCCGTCAATGATTCTATTTGTTCAAAGAGAGATCCTCCAGACTACGACAGCACGTCACGCAGACCTGTGTTTACTTAGAGATATGTTTGCCTCACCACATTTGTTAAAGCATTTGTGTGCAAATTTGTCCAAATCCGAGCGTCGATGTTCCCCTGTGCCATGTGCCAACAAAAGCATCTGCAAACCTGTTTGTCTGTATGTGGGAAAAACACGTCTCTATTAGTTGTTTTGTGGTTGGGACCTCAGATTCTTTTGAAAAGCACAGAGAGCGAGCAGTGTAAAAGTGGCCATGACTCCACAGCATCGGCTCTGGAAAACACACACACACTAAATGACCAAGGGTAAAAAAGGTACGCGCACAGAAAATGTGATTCACAGAAAAGAAAGGCGAGAAAATCTATTGCTCTGAAATGCAGTGTTGGAAATTGTACTATTGTGTGACATTTGAAACTGTCAAAATGGCTCCAGGTAAAGCCATATTGAATTAAACGGTAGGGGAATCATTTGATATAAAATATACAAATTGCTTGAATGTCTTTTTTATTAAATAAAAATACAATTTTATTTTATAAATCGGCCGTAATTTGCAAAGACTGAACTAATTGTGTTTTGTGTTGAATTCTAGATTATGAATAATAATCATAGTGTATTCAGATGTGTGCATGTGATATGTTGAAGTGGCTGTGTTGTTCGTAGCAGGTGTAAGCACTGTTCCCTTCACACAAACGCTTACAGACAGTCAGAAAGTGCAGCTATTATGCCGCTCCTCTTACACTGGCATACAGTTACAGCCCTTAATGCTGTTCCTTGGCAGAGAGGACCAGGCTCCTCTGCGACAGTGCGCCCCATGCCAGGCTCCTTTCAGCCCTGTGTGTAACTCGGCTTGAGTTCACGGAGCCTCGGTGAGCGCCTCTTCCTGTCCCACAATGCACCGTGGCCAAACCGCCGCTCAGATTAGCTCCCAGCGCAGCCTGGTGCCCCTCCGAGTAAAGCCCTTTTGCTCTTTGCCAGGATTTCAGCAGCCACTCACAACCGCAGCTATCCTCCGAGAGAGAATCTTGATATTGTCAGTTTTTCTTACAATGACCACTCATCATCAGTTCAATATTGATAATTTGTGACTATTTATAACTATTCTGTATATTCAGCTCTATCTCCTAATATGGTTTTGTTTCATTTCTATTTTGTGATGGACTGCAGTATTTAGAATATTTAATAATCCCATAGCCACAGGAAATGTCATATGAACAGTTGGTACCTGTTTTGAGCCCAATCAGGGTGAACCAGAGCTTAACCTGGACAGACACAGCAGCTCTCCCCCTTAGAATGGCAGCGGCGCAGTTTTATTCTTAGCTCATTAATGCACAGTGTCTCGCGGAAGCTATCAGTTTTCAGGTCCCAGACGATTGGACTCGAGCCTTCTCACTCACCCATCCGGTCCCATCCTATCTCCACTCTGCCCCCGTCCCACTGCTGTGACTACAGGCCTGACCTGCAGCAGAGGCCTGGGCCAAGCTTTATGATGTGTGATTGACAGGGCAGGACATCCAACCCGTGGCTTCTCTGTTTCTCCACAGTGTGCGTGTGGGTTTGTGTGTGTTAGTCTGTATGCTTATGTGTGTGTGTGTCTGTGTGCGGGTGTGTGTGAGTGCAAGTGTGTGTGCGTGTGTGTGTGTGTGTGTGTGTGTGGCTCTCCATTCGTCCAATTATAGCCTGGACTCACAGGGCAGAGAGAGCAGGACACATCAAAGCAGTGTGAGGCTGGAATGAGCTGGACTTACCCTGTGTTCTTCTGCTCCATAGCAGCAGAAAATGTAAATAAAACATTGGAGTCATTTTCCTTTTGACAACCACAATATGACTAAAATCTTTTCACCTCATGTCCCCCACATGTACTATATTCTATTCTAATCTATTCTATAGAATTATTATAACAGTCTATTCTTTACTATGTGTAGCTTTCACAATCAGTCCCAACAATTTCCAAACATGTCCCTTATTCAGTTTAAACTTTTAACTTATCCTTAATGTTGTTTTCCAAACACACATGACATTTAATATTACTAAGGGCTTTCTGAAATGGATATGAAATGCTGTAGAATCATCGACTGCCTGTTGTTGATATTAAGTTTGGTTGTGGTCCATAGTGATGTCTGGCTTGTCATTTGTGCATTGACCACATTGAACGTGTGTGGTCTCTGCTTTAGTCATATTTGGAGACTTCTTTCATTACTTAGTCATTACGATTTCCCGTAGCTCATGTTTGCTTATTAGTATTCTTGCAGGCAGAGCGAAAAGGTTCCAACTGCGGGCTTGAGAGACATTCATTTACCCATCAACATGTCGCAGTCGTCGCTCTTATGTTACAAATGGTCCGGAGAGTGTGTTTTAATATAGTAGACGAACAAAGCAGGGAATCAACAGGGAGCCTGGCGAGGCGGCCAGCCAGAGACTTACTGCCTCCTCACGTCACAATAATCCCTCAATCACATCTTATCTGCTTTGTCCAATATCCTGAGCTCCTAAAGGGATGTAAACTTATCAGATGTGGTTATGTAACGAACAAACCAAGGTGGAGGAATAGTCAAACACCATTATCTACTGTTATACTGTTAGTACTGAACCCCTACATGTTTAGTCACCGACTCTTAGTCCAATGAAGGTCTTAATGCAGTTCTAGCCAGCTATGTACGTGAAAAATAATGAAATGAAAGCTTTCAAAATGAGCTTACCCAACCTCACAACTAATATCATACTAGGATACAGAAAAAAAATTATAAAAAAATAACTAAAACACATATATAACTATAAACATGATCACGACACACACAAGTTACATCGTAGTGAGTGATGTGTTTACTGCAGGTACAGGGATTTAGTGAGGATTTCTTTGTTAAAACTGGCGCTCCGAATGAGAGACTCACTTGAGGCTCATCCTGCATTGGGTAATCAGCTTGATCCAGAATTACTAACTGTTTGCGCACTTGCCTAATGGATAGCGTGTTCTTAAGTGGTACAAATAGTTTGTGCAGTGGAGGTTTGAGTCTGTCATGAACACTAGGCTTAAATTCTTTGAAAATAATGTATATAGCCTATTTACAAAGATGCAGACGTATGTTCTCTGACACGACAGAGATTATTCAAAAACACTGTATTCCATCAAACTGGTGCAGTCCACAGTCAAACGGACGATGGTCCAAGTCTTTTCCCGTCCGAGTTAAGACCGTTATCATTATTGTATTGTTATTTCCATGATTACCTGTTCCTGTTCCTGAAGGGTCTCCAAAGTGCCGTATGCGTCCTGTGGTGTCTCGTTACTCCGTTTCAAACTGCTTTAGGGAAGTCTTTTGTCAAATCCTCAGCCCCAGAATCTGCTTTTGGCTAAGGTTTCTGTTGCGTGCAGCTGGGAGACACGGCTGCTTCCAGCATTAGGGTGGAAATAATGCAAATATATATTATATTTAGGCCTATTGTAATGTATTTTGCAACACATTTACATGATTTGAATCTTTAATGGAGACAATCATAGTATTTTTTATTAATGTTCTGTATAATAGTTCATATTTTTGATATAATTGTCTTATTATTAATAGTGACTAACTCTATATCCACTAGACTAGATAGATAGATAGATACTTTATTGATCCCCCGTAGGAGAAATTCAGGTGTACTGAAAGGTGTACTAAAAGCTTGTATAAACACAATGGTTTTAATCAATAAAATACCATCAATATATTTTCATTATATAATACTATGCTTGATTCCGGATGTTAAAAGCTACCTCTTGTGTCTGCAGTGAAACAAAACTGCAGTGGGTAGGCTTACAGCTGAAGTTGGTCGATCAAAATAGCTCTGCCAATTAAGCTTTAGAGGTACTGTGTAGGGTTTTGTTTTTAAAATATTGCGGCGCCTGGGTCTTTAGCAGTAAATCTGGCTGATTCTCTAAAGCTCCGGTTTTTCTTTTTGCCGAAGAGGGGGACAGAAAGGACGGAAAAGAAGTGTGGCTGGAACAAAGATTATTTGAATGCAGATGTGCTTTTTCTTGTTCAGAATTGGCCCAATGCTTTGACCTCTGAAACTGCTTTTCTCACAACTTTGCCCAACGATTTAGGTCTGACAGCTGAACGGCTCGCAGGACTGGGGCCGGGCCAAGCTGCTTCTTATTCTCTGTAATTATCCAGTTTAGTGAGTAACATTGAAAAGACATAACACAAAGAGTGACTGTATGATTGAATTATGTTTCATTTAGGAAACAGAGGTCAGGCTATAATTCCACAAATAGAAAAATTCTCTCTAGCAGAAAGTGCTTATTGCAGGCAACACGGATTAGCATTATTTCCTAATTTCACTGTACACTGGTTTTTAATTATTTGTGTAATTAAGGTTAATAAATAAATGTTGTGTTTATTTTATCAGCGTAGCTTTTTTCTGCCGCAGTTTACTCAAATGGTACAAGAAATCTGACATTTTAAAGTAATATGATAGTTGAAAAATGTTTTTTGTTGTATTCATTCTTCCTATCTTATCTATAAAGAACAGACCATGTTTGAAAGAGGAATTACCGTTTACTTATTTGTATTTATCTTACCACCATTATTAATTATTCAAACTTCTATACTCAAAGCGCATTCGAAAATAAATGTAGAATCTTGTAGTTTCAGCTGCAATAGCCTATACATGTTTTTTTGTTTTTTTGTGAGAGAGCGATTTTGTTGAGAGCGTATAAATTTGCATGACCAGTGCCCTCTTTTCTCTCCTCTCTCCTCCCGTTGCCAGGCCTGAAATCTGCCCGCTCTGTTATAAACCAAACGCGCCTCAAACAGGGGGACATCAGCCTGAGCCGGGGAGAGGTGAGGAAGGACCACGGGCAGCCAGACACTAAAGGAAACGTCTTGTTCTACGGGCTCGGTCCCAGCCGCCACATTCCGAACAGACTGTGGCGTTCCTTGTTCACTCAGACCAGCGGAGCAGAGCCACGCAGACCTGCCCTGTGATCGAGACAAGCTCCTAGTATTTTTACTGACTTCGAATTTTACACACCCATCCACAGAGTTGCTTTTATTAAAATGAAATCAAATGTAAAGATAAAGAAAAACCTTAATCCATTAAATGTCATTCACCGTTGTTGTGATGATATTGATATAAAGTAATAAGAAAAGCATTGAATAAAGATGATGCAAAATGCCATTCTGAAACAAAGAGAAAGGGAGGGCACATATTCAGGCTAGTGGGGCTGGTTGGCAGTGTTTGGCAGGCAGCGCTGCAGCTCTGTTAAGAAGGTGCCAGCTTTTCAAACCGACACACAGCCTCTGCCAACTCCTCTCCTTCTGATCCTTTCTTTCTCCCCTCATTTTAACATTTTCCCCCATATCCTTGTTTCTGCTCTGCACTTCTTCCCCCGTGCGTCCCCTCGCACCCCTAGAATCTCTCCTATAGGCGCTCCGTCACAGCGGGGTGCCGAAAAAACCCAGCAATTTGAAACTTATTTTGTGTGTCTCTGGAATAAAAGAGCTATCGTGTTACCAGACGTTTTTCTTCTTCTCGCTCTAAAATATGTTCCGCCGGATTTTGCAGGGCGAATATTCAGTGTGATGGTGCTGCTGCTGTGAATTCAGGTCCAAAACAAAATGGCGGATTAAGCCAAGCTGGTCGCCACTGAGACAGTAGGATGAGCTACGCAAGCATGAATCATAGTGGCAAATGTGGTTTCTCCTCTGGTAAACATTTATAATTTTCACTACTGCTGATGGCTTAGAAATAATCTATTTTGCATTTTCTAGACATTAAGGAGGGGGAAGCGTGGACATTTTCCTCTGCCCTGATTAAGACAACCAAATGTGGACAGTTATAAGAAGGCTATTGTCATGCTTGCAGGGTTAAACGAACGCACAAGCAACAATTTGATTCTAAAATATTGTTATACTATTATTAGGCCAGAGAGCAGCAAGCTAGTGAAGGTCCTGTTCTCCTGGGACAGCCGTGTCAATATATCAATCAATCAATCAATCAAATTTTATTTATAAAGCGCTTTACATGCCACAGGGAACATATATGCATGCGTTGGTGCCTTTTAGTGACCAGAGACCCTCACTATGACATCAGAGTGCCTGCACCATCCAAAAATAGTAAAATATGTAAAATATATAATGTTTATGTGACTCAAAAATGAGAAACATTGTTATTGTACCGTACCAGATTACTATTATTTCTTCTCAACTATTTTCCACCGGCTACAACAGATTCAGAGTCAGATTCAGAGTACTTTACGTATCCCACCAGGGGCAATTCGTTTGAGCAGCACAGGGCATAAAAACAGATAAGACACAGGAAATGTTAAACAGTAACTTAACTGATATGATACACATACACATTTTTTGGCTATTTACTATGCCGTCAGCGTGTCATCGAGAAAATAAAAGAAGAGATATGAATACAAATAAAATTCATTATACAATCATAGAGTTTGACTTGACATAGATCAAAAGTGTAGTATGATCACGTTCACAAACAAACAGAAAGTTAACTGTCTTCAATTATACAATGTAAAAGAAGATTTTTGCTCACGTTGTATTTTAACACAAAGACATGGAATTGTTTAGTAGCGTGGCTCTAACCTAAACATGATCAGTCAGGGCCAACAATCGGTCAAAACCCACTGATGGTGGGGCAGTATGTACGGGGGCTTCCAACGGAAAGCAACCATCCATCTTCTTAGCTTCTGTTAGGCCAAGATAAGTTATTGATTTGAACTTTGGAGCCAAGTAGAGAAGAAAGCCCAATGAAGAGCAGAGAACCAGGCATGACAGGAAGATGGTTAGACTGCCGGCCACCATCCCCTCTGGGCACTCCCAGACAAGTGGAAGTCGATCCCAACAGAACCACAATGGCACAACGGGTCCAATCTACTCTTTGTTAAGTCTACAACCAGTTTCTTAAGTAGTTACCTTTGTAAAAAGTTCAAATGTATGTGTGCCAGTGAACATCCACGGGTAGATTTGGAATATCTATCCTGTGTCAGTTCCAAAATATGAGAATACATTTTAGAAACAGCACGTGAAGCAAATGGTCTCTCTCTTTTAAAACAACGTTTACTTGCCAAGATGTATGTGTGACGCAGCCTCAATATCTTGCCAAAAATGTTCACACAATTTATATGCGGCGAAGCAAAATGTATGTAGTAATAACAAGTTAAAAGTGTGTTTCAGCGCCTCACTTCTCTCTTATCTTCTATTATCCAATTAACACCTACAGAAAAAAAAAACTTCTCCAACCATCCAAACCATCCACACTCTCGACCATTTGATTCTTTCACATGATGTTCCCATACACACAGCTAAAACTAAGCATATCGTATTAACTTTAGATCGTGTTTCTGCAATACGCCCAAACCGCAACCGGCCCATCCTTCAGATTCCATGTGAACATTGGGCCTTTCAGCAGCCCTCCACGCTGTGAGTGACGGGGCGAGTGTTAAACTGTGGGTGTGGGGGAGGATGGAATTACTCAATAATGATCAGAAAATTAGAGCCATTATTGAGGGAGAGTAAACAGGCCTCTCTAAGTGTGAAAGACCCTATTCAGATGGAACCAGGAGCAGGAGTCCTTTCTTCCATTCAGAGATGCACCCATGGCCTTGAGAGCCCCCCTATTGTCCGCTAGAATAACAGAGTGAATGTATGGGATCGCCGGGGCAGGGGTCCTGTTCTTGCAAGTATAGGCTCAGTATGGACAACCCATTGACCACAGACACTGCCCATAAATCAATACTGGAAGTTCCTTTAATGCACATTTAAACCCGTTGTGTTCCGGCCACTTTCCCTCCATGGTTTGTAAGGAGCAGTGCCTGGCAAAAAAAACACTTTTTGGGTCATTTGAGAAGTATTTTCAGTGATATTTTGGCAACCCTAATATGTTTTTAGCACATATGAACCGTCCTGCAAATCAATATTTCTCTTTTTCTCGCATCTCTTTGCTTTATCTCAAAGCCAAGCATTCCTCAGCGTACTTTTTACTTTTTATTTTGTGCAAATTAGCCAAACTTTGCTAATTAACTCGTCTGCCAGAAGCGCTAAGTTCAGAAATCTTGGCAGGCATGCGTGTTAGTGTTTCTAAGTGTCTACAAGTGCACCTGGGTTTTTTTTTTTCCTCTTTCCCTCTGCTCTCTCCTCACTCAAACACCACATACTTGTTTTCTATCTCCAGCATCCGGGGAGGCGACAGTTAGTGGAAGATGGGTGTAAAGCAGGCGCTAATGTAAAGATTTCCTTGTTAGAAAGTGCAAAATATCTTAATTAATGGAAAAGTAGGTAAATGAACTCGACGTGTCTCTTTGCTGTGAAGTGACAAACCACTCACTGTGTTAGATGGAGGTTGCCAGATCTGTAATCATGAACATTGAAGAAGTTTGTGCGCAGTATAGTAGTCTACTTAATTGAAGATATTTTACACAAGACCAACGTTGTAAGTTAAAGGAGCAATATGTAATATTTGCATGTCAAGTCATCATAAAATGACCCGAATATTTCAAAAGGCGTTATTAAATCATACTCTTTTCGAATTCATCTTTAACTGATAACAGTAGTTCAGCCGAGATATTTGATTATCAAAATTAGTTTTACGACCCGTAAAAGTTGTTATTGTTTTGATTTTGATGTCCTACCCTCCGCCGTTTTGCCAATCAGAAAGTGTCATGTAAGTCCGTGATCGGGTTGCCAGAACTCCGCGCGGCTCATTAATCTCAGTGGTAAAATAACATGTGGCGCAGAACTAAAAAAGGTCTTGTTATGACTCTCAAATCATTAATGACAAAACAAAGACTAAAACGAGGATTTATATCGGGATGCCTTTGAACAATTGAGACAGCTGATAAAAGTTCACGTGTGATGCAGAATTTTCTAGTTTGAGTGCGTTCTTTACAGTGTCTCTATTTGTGTGAATCGGTGGCCTAGCGGTCTAAACTGTGCGCTTACGATGCAGGAACCCGGGTTCGATTCCGGGCTATGTCTTTTTGTATTTATTGCATGTTATCACATTCTATGACAGATTGCTCTAAAAACGGTAAAAGATGAAGTTCAAGACGTTTTTTTGCAGATTATAGCTTAATTGTAAAAATAATCATTTAAGACCACATGTACCCCAATTAAAATAATGTTAGTCTCTTTTTGATGTGGAACTTTTACATGTTTGTCTAAAAAATAGGGAATAAATAAAATTGAAAGGTGATATCCTCTTGAGCAAACCCTGATGTTGATACGCTGAAGAAATACGTTCCAACATCCATTCTTCCCACTCCTATTTTGGACATCAATTGCTTATTTATTTTGCATAAACTATGTATAATTACATTACTTTTATTTTGTTTTTGTTTTTTATCTCAAATGTCCAAATAATAATAATAAAAAAACATTAATCAAAACATTCATTCAGCATTAGCATGGCTGTCATGACAATGTGAATGGAGACGGACAAACAACTGATAAAATAATTCCCTGTGTTTGCTGCTGGATTTGGTGTGAATCTGGCAACCTGAGTCAGGGAGAGTGGGAGAGGACTACAAAATATTGACTGTGACTGCAGTACCACTTTTGGCCAGATTTTTACATATTTTTCCTTTAAGACAAGATACAACTTTATTGATCTCACTGTGGAGAACATTTCTGAATATACAGAGAACCTAATAATCTATACAAAATAAACAAACAAAACTACCTGACAAAAAACACGGTTGGTTCTGTCATTAGTTTTGACATGCATTTTTGGCCTCTTGTCACACAAAAAGTTAGGTAGCCTGGCTAAATGGCTAGAGGTCTGCAGCTCTGTACTATGACACACATGTAATCAGTAAACAATAGGAAATGCTGAGGACAAAGCTGACTAAAGTATCATGCTTCAAGTGTAAGTGACCCGCTTGGATCCATGTCAGAACGGCCGGTGAATAGAGTTGCCATGGTCACATCGTGGTTTTTTCCCCCTCTTCCTGCCTACCTTTCCTGGGCCATTTCCAGGCGGTGTGGGTGACTGGCCTCGTTGGCACGCTGAACTGTCATGGCTTGTGGGGCGGTTTGTGTGGCAGCCTGGTCGTCCGCGTGGCAACCGGACTGTAGGAGCCCTGCCAGTGGAATCCAGTCAGATCACTTTCACTGTATAGAGGGCATCCCCCTCTCGGCTGTGTGGGCAACTACACTTTCTCACGTGGCACTGCACTGAGGAAGAGAAAGCCTAATATTTGTGTGGCCAGTGTGCTTCACTTTTTACAGTTGTTTTTTTTTTATTATTTACAGTTGTTTTTTACATAATATACAGTTGTGCTTGAAACTTTACACACCCAGCCAGAGATATCATTGTTTTGGCCATGTTTTACAGTTTATTAAAGTTTGTGTATTGTGTAAAGCCATTTTTCAAGTTATAACATTTTTTTTTTTACCATCGGAGAGGATCAAGAACCTCCTCCACGACTATTATAAAAGAAGCTTTTCATAGATGCTGAAGGGGAACATGCTATTATTAACTGGTTGATAGAAACTTCTTATCAAGGTCAAATGAGTTTATATTGTCATACATTGAAAATAGAAAACTTGTTTATTAGACAATAAATGGCTTCACATAAACATGAATAAGTAATCTTTGCGTTATCATTCAGAGTCTTTGCCTGGGTATATAGACTTTCAAGCACAACTGTATTTCTATTCATATTGGTATTTGGTACTAGGTATCAGTATTATGTGCTTATTTCAAGCAGGAACCTATTTTCTAATATATTTATTCCATGATCTGTGAGCTGGATGTTTCTTGGCATTGCTGTCTGCTGTTTTGCAATATTTGAAACACTTGCCAAATCTGACATATGAAACTGTCGGACTCTAGGGTTACAGCAGATTTTTGCGTTCACACATTTTGTTTTGTCTAAGGAGCTTCAACGGACCTCTATCCTATAAGTACATTCTGTAATCAGATAGAACGTGTGATTGAAAACAAGTGACCTGCGATGCACCTCCTCAGCAGGAAGAGAGTTTAAACCCACGTGTACATGACACAAATGAATCTGTAAAGATCAGTTTGGAACATTAAGTCAGACTGAGGCGATAATCAGCTGTGCATATTGTAAAGCTGGTGAAGTTAATCCATGATATCTTTATTTAAACATTTCTTTGCAGTAACGTCCTTGAGCTGTTCAGAGACATTTGGCTGAACCAGGATTGCAAAAAAAGATGCATGTGTTTTTGATCTCATCCTTTTCTGTCGGGACAAACTCGCTGATGGATTAGCCAATCCCCATCGGCTCTGTCTCTCGTCAGAAGTCCTCAAAGCTCTGTTGAGGTCAGATATTATTTGTTTTGCGTCACACATGAGTGATCACTATGGACCCTCCCTCTGTCCTCTCGCCTTGTTCAACCCTGCACCTGAACCCCTCCACACCTGATGCCTGTGGGCCGTATTCAAATCAAGGAAATTTCCCACATTCATGAATCATAATTTCTGTAACATAAATTCATCTGAAGTATGACCGCCTCTGGAAAGAAGTGGATATTGTTTAATGATGCATCTGCAACTTTTCTCCTCTGGGATTTCAGGAGGGCAGATTTCAATCGGAACTTCTTTATCTTGTTACATTCTATGTTTTTTTATGCAGTTGCTTAATTCAATGTATCTATTCCTTATGCTTTGAAAAAAAAAACATTACTACCATGTAGGGCTGGGCGATATGGCTGAAAACTATATCACAATATAAGTCATTCATATCGGTCGATAACAATATATATTGAGTTTTTTTTTTTACCTAAATAAATATATTTGTTGTGTGGGCTAACCAACCTTAGCAGCCTTGTTTACAGTCACGGGGCGATGAGGCTGGAGAAATATGTTCACACTGTGTCCCTCGTTGTTAGTCCTGGTTTAATCCTGGTTTTTTATTCCTGGTTTAGCTCCTGGTTTTCGCTGTTTGAGGGTCTTGTGTCCCCGTGGCCGCTCCGTGTGGCTTTCTGTGCCGCACATGCTTCCTGAGGAAAAAGTTAATCTCTTGCTTTCGCCGAATACATCGGGTCTGTCCACTGCCTCTGCCGCCGCACATGTTATTCCGCGCACAACCATTGACACGGCATTGAAACACGAGCTATAGATCCATGGACGCCACGCATGCTGCGGTTGTTGTTGTTTTTGCATTTCCCACAAAGTTTTGCGGTTCCTGCTCGGCTGTTATTGGTCGAGAAGCCTCCGCCTACATCCCCCACAATGCCATGCGCTTATGAGTCGGCTTTACTTCCGGTGTTTTCTTCCTGTTTTTCCTGACGGAGTTAAGTTAAACTATCGAACATTCTATTGACCCCATTCTCTATTGATATCGAACACATGTCTATCGCGATATATATCGTTATCGTTTTATCGCCCAGCCCTACTACCATGAGAGGTAGATTAACTAACTTGACCTGAATAGGCACTGCGTGCCCTGTAGACTCCATGCAGAATGGGAATTATCTCATTTATAAGACTCAATAACTCTTCCTTATTATCTATACCTTTATTGCCATAACATGGAACTCTCAAGCCAGTAGAATTTCCATTGGTTGGCGCAACAGAAAAAAGTTTGCTGCCCAATAACACAGGCAACATACATCACATGAAACAATGTAATATCAAGCAATGAGTTATATTTATCAACTTTACTCATACCTTTTTGGATAAGTCTAAAGGGTCAATTGTGTTATATTCTCTCAAAGCATCTTGAGTTGGACAATGTCTAGAAAAGATACTCAGAACTCTACCTAATCTGTTTTCACTAATATGCAATTCATGTGAAATTAGTGGTTTGTAAAACACAACCGTTCACCCATCTTGTCTCACAGAGACGCATTGGAGCAGCTTGACTGTCATCCATCAACCAGCTACATCTGAAAGGTGTATTATTAGCCGCGGACCACCCTGCTGCCGAGTCCCACTTGAGTTTCCATTCTTCCGCAGCTCGAGCCTCAATGCGTGTCTTCTTCAGCCACCCAAACACAAGCGAGGACAGCGAAATCACGCCATGACAGGGAGGAACGCATCAGCCATAGTCCCTCTTAGCCAGCCCGACTTCAGCGCCGCGGTGATCGAGAGGGTAATCAGACCCGCCGTGTTTATTTTAAGAGCCGATGATCTGGAGATGTCCATTAAAAGCAGAGGGCAAACCATTCAGGAGCAGTCAGTCTGGACAGGGCTCGCTATGGGTGTGGGCGTACCAACTCTCTCTTTTCACCCTTCGTAGGAAAGAAAAAAACCTCGAGATGACAGTGAATTAAAGCAATCTGGCCTTGATTTTGTGGCTAGATGTGTATCTGTGGTTTTGGCCGATGGCAGAGCTTCACAGATCCTGCTTTGTGCGCCCTCCTCTGCCGGCTCGCTTTTTTATTGTCGTTCTGTTCTTTTCATGTGAGGTTACTTTTCCTTCTGGCCTGGCTGTAAAACACACCCTAACAAGATACTATTCGCACTCACGGGCTTTTAGTACAGAGCCGCTTTTTTCATGTTACCTTGAGAGACCCGGCACAGAGACGGAGAAACGAACGGGCAAATATTAGTGTTCTGTAAACATGATCTCGGGAAAATGCTCTTTGGCATTTCATGTTTTAGAAAATGTGTAAATTGAAAATATATGTATTGTACACCATATTTCATATGTAGTTTTGTGTATCTCATTAATAGTTCAAAATAATAGTTACATGTTGCTTTTTAATGTGTGAACTTCTCGATGCAAAGGGTCTCTCACAGGTCAAATATAACTACTCTAAATAAGTACGTTAAATGACGTTTACTCCAGTCTGCTTCATCCGTGCACTCACTCTGGTGCAGTTCTCTGTCCTTCAGCATGTGTGTGTGTGTGTGTGTGTGTGTGTGTGTGTGTGTGTGTGTGTGTGTGTGTGTGTATGTTATGCGCCGGTGTGGTGCCCATTGACTCTTCCTCTCGCTCCATTCATCCACTCTCTGCTCGCCTCTCACGCGGAGGAGGAAGTTTGTAGAGGAGAAACCGTTTCTGTCACACGGTGTTGAGCAGGTTGTGTGCGCTCGAGAATGACAGAAGATGAGTGATTTGACATAAGCACCGACACGCGCCGTGTAGGCAGGGACACTTGAGCACGCGCCCGTGTCCTGCCTTTGCATGATGCAGAACTGTCACATTTACGTATTGCGATGCATTGTTACACCCGTTGTATCACATTACAGCTTCCATAATCACATAAAGGACTATTGTGAAGGACAATTGACACATTTAAGACTGCAAATCATTATCTTTGCAATGTTTTTTTTTTTTGACTGTGTGTGGCTGTTGACTGAAGCCTTTTATTTTTGCACAAAACAAAAATATAGGCACACATGTATTTACACCACAATGCCAATACACATAAAATCTGTACCCAAGGCAACTCACTAAAAGTTGTGGTTTCCCTCTCCTTCTACATTCTCACTCATCTCATTTCACTTACAGCTTAGAAGTGCGATGAAGTAATCCTGACATATTTTATACACTAATGCAAAACAAACACCGGCAAATTACACACATTCATCCCCCTACTACCAATTCGTGGAAGTGGTTAGTCAAATAAAGCTCCTTTTTTTCTAACTTTCCATTTTACTCACTCTCTCTGTGGATCTGTCCTGGCGAGACCTCTTAGCTGGAATCGTTTTGAGCACAGGGCCCCTTTTGTGGTGAGGATACAAGGTGTTGGTGAAAAAGAACAGGATTTTCTCTCCTGAACTCAGGTCCCTTCCATCAATCCTCTGCTCCTTCTGCTGCTGGCCTTCTCTCTTGACTTTCTTCAGGTCAACACTGGTAAACAGACCTTCACAACACACACTGTGTATCACCCACACACAAGGGAAACTTTGCTGATTTAGTTTTGGAAAAGTCCCATGTTTTGCTTGGAGGGGCTGTGAGCAATTTTGTGGTTTTCTGATGCATTACATTTGTCGCTGGTTTTGTCTTTACGCCGTGTAGGTATGATGGTGGCTTGCAACACAGATGTGAAGGATGGGATTGTCAAAATGTGAACCTCTCAGGGGGTCTCTCTGAATCGCTTAATGGCATACAGTCAAATGTTACTCTTATTTTCTTACATTTCTTTGTTGTACATATTATTACTCATACAAGAGTGGTGTTTGCAATTTACATGTAGTACCTCAAAGTAATGTAGCACAATATGTAACATGCCAGTGGATCATGGCAGAGAGAAGCTTTACTTCGATGTCTACTGCCCTCTGCTTGAACTGTGGGAAACAGCCTGTTCTGCTGCCTGCTATAGTCATAATCTATGAGAAGTGTAGATGATTATGCATTATTATGAACATGTCTGTATTCAAAAAACACATACATGTGTAAGGCCCCACACTGCTTAAAGCAGCAGATCATGCTAGCGAGCATCACTTTTTATTTTTTATAAGCCCAGATGCCAAATCATCTGAGTGACTGTTCTGAGTGATGAGATTCAGGGGAATATAAATACGCTTGAATCACAAGGAAACATGTATTTTTCAGCAGGAGTTTGGTCATGTGGAGAGTGTGTATGCACGTTCTTGCCGCTGCAAATATGTTTTAATTTTCATCGAATTATACAATATTTTATTGTTGAGGAACAAGAAATCAGGCTACAATATGAATATGGCTTGCTCTAGTTAACTTTCCGTAACAACATAACAGTGCTGTAGGTCCACCCATCGATCAATACATTTTCTTCCCCTTAATCCATTTCTGGGTCAGGGGGGTGGAAGTTAGAGTTGCACCCAGATCACAGAGCACCAGCCCTTCATTGATCCTCCTGCAGGTGGTGAGTCCACAGGAGTCCTGATCTTTCAGCGGGGGCTTAAGGCAAAGAGGGGTTAAATGTCTTCCCCAAGGACAGCAGACAGTTGTGAAGAAGGCCAATGCTCTACTGTCACCCCATTTCACTTTACAAGATGTGTGCATTAAAGTGCGCTGCCCCTGTTCAAATATCCATCCATCCATCCATTTTCTACCCTTTAATCCATTTCTGGGTCAGGGGGGTGGCAGTCAGAGATGCCACCCAAGTCTCATAGCACCAGCCCCTCACTGATCCTCTGCAGGTGGTGAGTCCACAGGAGGACGGCTGCTCTGAGTGTGAGCATAGCCTTGATCTTTCAGTGGGGGCTTTGGGCAAAGTGGGGTTAAGTGTCTTGCCCAAGGACACAACGACAGCAGTCATCAGTGGGAGTCGGTGGAGAAGGTGCAGAGGTGGGAATTGAACCCACAACCTTCTGGCCTTAAGGCCAATGCTCTACCAACTGAGCTACTGTCGCCCTGTTCAAATATATCTATATAAAATATCTATATATATTTATATAAAATAAAAGCCCTTTTTACCAAAGCAATATCTAACAGGTCTACTATGTGGCCACATGTTAAATACAAACATAAGTTAAATACTGCCTGTAAATATGAGAATATTTGCATTCTTTGAAGCTCCACCGGGAGCACTGCATATTCCAGTCTACAATAGCAACCATACCATTAATCAAGTGAAATTGGTCACAATGATAAACAAAATGAAATGTAGATATACATTTTCCAGACAAAGCGGTGAGCCTCGTCCAAATGAGAGGCTTCACGTGTAACCTCTTTCTCTGCTAAATGTTGCTTTGTGGCTTCCATGCTGAGAATAATATTACTTGGTTAACTAAGCCGTTTTTTAGCCTTGACAGAATGGTTGCACGCGCCTCATTCACTTACACATACAGTACACAAAGTACACTTAATCAGGCCGACATGTGTTCAGTGCAGTCTGTCATTACGCAGGCCTTGATGTGGTCACCGGGTGCTGCTCAGGCCTCTTATTATTGCCGTTTTATGACAACTCTCACTCGAACGCTCCATCCCACATTCCCTCCTCTCGTTCCCATTATCCAAAGCCACATCCATTTGTCTCTGTTATAATCAAACGTCTCTGTGTTCGGAGTAAAGTGCATCTTGACACTCCCCACGGGGGCAGGGTAAATATATTAAGTTTACATATTGGGAGAGAGAACAAAGCCTTTGAAGAAGATGACATAGTCTGGGATCGCGTCTTACATTCAGACAGAAGACATGTTTTATTGTCGATGGTAGAGACAGCACGATCAAAGCACACGATCACAGAAACAATAGAATGCAAGTGTATTATACAGAGCGGAGGCATGGAGACCTCCAATCAGCAGCTTCCACGGTGTGCTTGTAGCTTGGCCTTCAGATAGACAAAACAAGGGAAAAGTACTGGCTTCTGCACATTGATAGAATGATGAGTTTAACTTTAACAAAAGTTGCTTCAAAGTGTTATGAAATCTCATATTCCCCCCTCTGGTCATACATTCACGTGTGACCATCAGGATTGATAAACAGCAACATAACATCATAACTCAATACTTCAACTCGGTACTTCAAAAAACTCAGAACTCAATACTTAAACTCATAAAACTCATAAAACATGTTCAGATCTTTCATAAAACTTGTCAACAATCTTCAGTAAAATACCAAACTTCATCAGTCGATGGTTCCAGATATTGCTTTGAAAACAGTCTCTCCCACTTCTCTGTGTTGATTCTTTCAGGCTGCATTTGTGTCGAGCCATCAATTCTTCTGTGACGTGTCTTTCAATCACACGTTTCAGCTTCAGTGTCCAGATTCAGCAATTTAATTCAGTCCAAATTATGTCCAAATTGTGTAATCCAATTTTTCCAAATCATGTCCATGCAAAAGAGGACGCATGGTGTTGTCCATGTCTCAGCAGCTCACAGCCTGAGTGGACTCAGGGGCTGTGCAGATTGTCCAAGTGTGCTGGTCCAGATGCATTCTCTTGAGGTTTCTCTGTTTTGGCTTAAAAAAAAAACACATTTTTGTGTAAAAAAAAAAGTCTTCTGTTCTCTAGATGTTACAGACAATGCCCGCATCCTCCACCACCTGAAGAAGATGACATAGTCTGGGATCGCGTCTTACATTCAGACAGAAGACATGTTTTATTGTCGATGGTAGAGACAGCACGATCAAAGCACACGATCACAGAAACAATAGAATGCAAGTGTATTATACAGAGCGGAGGCATGGAGACCTCCAATCAGCAGCTTCCACGGTGTGCTTGTAGCTTGGCCTTCAGATAGACAAAACAAGGGAAAAGTACTGGCTTCTGCACATTGATAGAATGATGAGTTTAACTTTAACAAAAGTTGCTTCAAAGTGTTATGAAATCTCATACCTTCTATAACAATATTTTGGGGGAGTATCTC